AGCCCCGTCCCCCCGCCGTGGCCGCTCAGTGCCGGGTCCCTTTATTAGCTCGTTGTGCAGTGAATTCTGTACAGTGGTATTGGTTCTTGTCTTACCTGTCCCAGGGTTTCTAAGAGCAGTGTTCCCTCTAAGCCGGGAGGAAGGAAGGTTGGTACCGCATCACCTGTGCGTGGGGAGGAGCAGGAGGAGGAGGAAATGTCCCAAATGTCCCCTCCGAGCTCTGCTGGGAAAGCCCAGGATGCCTTTTCCTCTCAGCAAACAGCAGCTGAGGAATTCTTATCTCGTTCTTCCAGAGCTAACACAGAATCCATGGAGGGTGGGTAGAGCTGGCCCTGGCTGCTCCCGCTGTGGAGCTCCCAGCCCAGGTTCCAGGGAAGCCAAATCCACGGGGAATCAGTGGTGTCTGTGTTGTTTCCTTTGTATATACTTGCTGTACAAAGCAAATATCCAAACAGGTGTTTCCATACGTGGTTTAGAGGCACAGCAGGCTGGGGTTGGGGTCAGTATCCAGAGGGCTTCTATGCTTCAGCAGGTTCTGGTTGAGGATTTAAAAAGTGGCTGTTAGAAATGGAAACCAGCAGGAGCTGGTTGCTAACTGGGAATAGCCTGTGATCAGGGGGAATGTGGCACTTTGTGGTTCATTTCCTCGTGGGGGGTTGGGAAATGTGTAAATTCCTAAGGAATTTTTGTTGGCAGTGCTGACACATCCTCACCCTGGCTGGGTGAGGACCGAGATGAGGGGCTCAGACTCCACATCCAGGGCCATTAGGAGCAATATTGGACTTGTATTTTTATTCTGGGAGCAGCCACCATCTGCCAGCTGCAGCAGAACCCAGGTGGGGACACGTGTGTCACCCTGCAGCCTCCAGAAATGAGGGATTATTCAGTGAGGGACCTGGGAAGGCTCCACAAGCCATTGGAGTCCATCCATCCTGTGTGGGCTCACACCGTGTTTGGTGTGGGGAGAGTCAGTGAAAAGCAGCCAGGAGGGAGGCTCGGGTTGAAGGTTCAGCTGCAGAGAACAAAGCAAAGGAGGGAATGTGTAAAACATCCATTGCCAGCTCCCGCTGCCCGCGTGGCAGCTGCTCCGGGCTGTGCCACCAAGGGCTGAAACCTGAATGCCCAGCCCAGGGGTGGCAGCTCCATCCCCGGGGGCTCCTCCAGAGCCACCCCTGCCTTGTGACCTCGAGAGGAGCAAGAGCCACCCCTGTGCTGTCCCCTCCCTGCCACAGGGCCTGCTCACCGCCGTGATCAGAGCGCTAATTAACGAGCAGCAGGTAAATGCACTAATTAAGCAGCCAGTCATGCCCAGGTCACTGCCCGTGGCGCGTTCCTTGCCTTGGCTCCAGGTCCTGGCTGTGCCCAGCCCCTCACAGGTGCCTGACCATGAACACCCAGCCCAGGGCAGCCTCAGCCTCGAGGGATTCCGGGATCTTTGTGGGTTTGTGGAGTCAGTTTTGCTGGGAAAGAAAAGAAAAAAGCCCCGAGGATTTTAATACAGGGTACGGTAGAACTGTAGCAATATTTTCCTTAGAGGGAACACTGAAACTTTAGCAGCACAAACAGTACTTGTGTTAATATTTTAGCAAAATTATAATCAATTTAAATGTTTAAATTGATTGTACGTGAGACAATGTTCGTTGGGTACAGTGTATTTTTTCTAACTATGATATAACTGTTGCAGAGTTTCCGTGTAACCGTACAGAGCTAAAGCTGTGTCTGCCTGCGGGACGCGTCCCGTGTGCCCCCTGCTGAATATATCACGCTCTGAATGTCCCCCCCAGGCCTGCATTGCCTTTCTTTGCCCCCACACGCACATCCCACCACGCTGTGACCTCGGGAGCAGCAGCAGGGACACGGGGATGGCACCAGCACCGCTCCTGGTGCTTCCCAAGGCTCGTTTCAGCTTCCCAGGGTTTCCTTTTCCTTGCTGTGCTGGGCAGGGGCAGGAGGAAGGGCTGGGGGGCTTCTGGCAGCACAGGAGATGTTCCTGGATTAAAGCAGAGATGGAATAAATAACCTGCTCCCTGATTAAACCAGAGCTGGGAGTAAATAACCTGCTCCCTGGTTAAACTAGAGCTGGGAATAAATAACCTGCTCCCTGGTTAAACCAGAGCTGGGAGTAAATAACCTGGTCCCTGGTTAAACCAGAGCTGGGAATAAATAACCTGCCAGCCTCAGCACCTGGAGGGAGGCGAGCCCTGCTCCTCTGCACCCACAGTGCCCATGCCAGGCAGGGCAGGGTGGCACCTCTGTTGGGGTGGCACTGGGACGGGCAGGAGCCACAGCTGGAGCGTTTTTCCAGGGAATGGCACCGAGCTGGTGTCCCATGGGCTGTGCCAAGGCTGTGTCACCAGGCAGGATGGGACAGCCCCAAACTCCCTGGCTGTGGTGGGATCCTTCACCCAGTGTCCCCACAGTGTCCCCACAGTGTCCCCACAGTGCTGGGTGCCACCATGCCCGGTGGCAGCCCCTGGGTGTGCCCATCAGGGTGTGCAGGGAGTGCTGCCACCAAACACACCCCAAAGGGGCTGTGGATGGAGAAGCAGAGCCATGGCTGCAGTAACCCTGGGCTGCTGGGGGTTCAGGGACTTGGAACATCAATTTTCCATTTTTCTCCTCTTTTTCTCCCAGCTGTGCTACAGCAGCACTCACCCCCTTGTAAGCACCCAGGCCACATCCTAGGAGGGTGCCAGGGCTGTCCCAGATTTGTCCCAAAAGCATGCCAGGATTGCCCTGAGCGTGCCAGGGCTCTGCCATCCTCACAGGCTGTTTGCAGCCCTCTGTTCTCCCCAGAGCTCACAGAGGGCTCAGCTGTGCTCAGCCCAGCCCAAAAGCCTCTGCACGGTGTGAGCTCTAAATTTGGGTGTGAAGAGCAGAATTTCAGCATTCTGCCCTTCCTGGAGCTGCACTCTGCCCCACCCATCCCCTTGCAGGCTCTGTCACAGCACCACAGCCCCTCAGCACTGAGGTAACCCCATCGTGCACTGTGCATTCAGGCATATTAAAAGATTTGGAGTTTTTGTCAACATTTCAAGCTGTTCCTAGCAAAGGTGGAAGCCTCAGTGATGTTCAGTGAAAAGCATCCTCCCCCTGCATTACCTGCTGTGTGTCAGGGGCTGGAGCAGAGCCTGAGAGCAAAGTCCCCCTTTACAGGGCAGCGTTTGGGATCTCAGATTCCCATCAGTCCATGCCAAAACCAGCAGTGCTGTTTGTTCTCTGCCCATCAGGCCCTCCCAGGGCTGTCCTGACCCTGTCCCTGTCCCTGCCCTCTGTTCCCAGGGAATTGCCATCATTGTCCCACACAGTGGAATTTCTCTCAATAAACGCTGCTGTGCATTTCAGACCCCTCCCAAGAGGTGGCTCTGGTCCCCCTGGTCCCACTCTCAGTCCCATTTTGTCCCCATGTCTGTCACAAGCCCCTCTCCCCCTCAGCGAGGCTCAGCCCTCGCTGCCTCAACTTGAAGCCCCAGTTCAGCTGCCTGGATTTTGTTGCAATACACATTCAAACCTCAGCTCCTCTCAGAGTTTTAATCTCCACAGCTCCCACCTGGGGGCTGCTGGTTCAGTTTCTTTGCCAATACCTCTGTCCGAGCAGACGCTTCCAGGAGTTGCAGTTGTCACTAACCTCTGTGCAGTGTAGTATAAAGTGGACTGTGTATGGAAATAAGTTTAAAATGTTTACAATTTTGTATATATTATATATATAAAAATATCTTTTGAGAGAACAATCTGTGATTCTGTATTTTCGGTGTCTGTGTAACCAACTGCAACTTATTTTCAATAAAGAGCTAAAAATGAATAGAAAAAAAAAAAAAAAAGATTTGGTAATAACTTTATTGAATCAGGTGAGCACAAGGAACAAGGAAACTGCAACATCAGGCCCCAGAGATGCAGCAGCTCGAGGGAACTCCCAGCAGCCCCTCCCAGGGAACTCAGAGCTGCTGATGGAGAAGGAACTGAAACCCAAGGGAAGACACAAGATGCTCCTGCAGGGAAGACATTTCACTCCCTGAACTGCACAGACCCAATGGGGACAGCTGCTGACTGCAAGTGCTGGCAGCACTCAGGGACCAGGATCAGCTCCAGGGTCCTGAGGGAGGGTCAGGGACTGCCAGGGGCTCGTGCACCCAAATCACCCTCCCCAGCCCCTTCTGGGCCAAACCCAACGTGCACAGGTGGTCACAACAGTCTTAAATATTCCAGAAAAGAAACCCAAAGCGCTTTGCAGCCTGAGAGCAAGCAAAAATAACACATGTAAGGCAAGGAAGAGTGGCTGTGGGCAGGAGTAGCTCGTGGGTAATACTCTGAGCTCGATTCCATAGAAATGATGATGCTAGAAAAGCTGTGTTTCGTCACTACAAATTACATAAATTAATGTGAGCTTTGTTCCTACGTGTTAGAAATAACTAAACCTGGAGATGGGAGAGAATCAGACACCGAACTAGAGCCAGGGGGGACTCCTGGCACTCCATCAGCTCCGAGCTGCTGCTGGAGGAGTCACTCGAGAGGAGGAAGGAAGAGACCCTCCTCTTCCTCTGGGGTGGAATTTGGGGGTGCCAAGGAACAGGAGCCAAGCCAGCCCGGTGGTACCCAGGGAGGTGCAGGTGTCAGACTACTGTAAACAGATAAATGCACTTAAAGGCACTGCAGAAAACATGGTCAGTAATCAGCAGCATTTAATGTCCCAGGATGCTGTTGGGAGCTCCCACCAGTAATACATCCAAGAAATTAGAAACATGGCAGTCATTAAATAAAATTCCCGTGTGCTTTACGGAGAGTAAAGCCTTAATGCTGTTACTGTACATGCAGGGCTACAAAATCAGCTTCTTGAAAGAACTTTACAGAAAAAGTCAGAGGCAACTTCAAATCTTGCACAGATCAGCCCAATTCTCCAAGCAGCAGAACTGACTCTGCAGAAAGGGAAACTCTGCAGCCCAGTGTGTGCAGCTGCCCTGGTCACACAGCCCAGGGAGCAGCACTCTCTTGCACCTTTTACCCCTGACTAGTGTGATCTTCACTGAAATAGCACAAAAAAAAAATCAGAATGTTATAAGGGAAGCCACCTCCATTCATTCCAGCGATCCATAAACTTCCCCCACCCCCAAACCAGAAAGAAACCCCCAAACCAGAAGCTTATTCCCCTAGTGAGTCCCCTGTCATTCTGCAGATCCAAAAGGATTCCCAGCTATTGCATGTTCCAGGAGGAAGGAGCCCTGCCTGTCCCCCTGCAGCTCAGCCTAACCCCAGCCCAGCTTTGGGAGCTCAGACAGAGGGTGGGGACGAGCTCTGGCCCATTCCCCTGCCCCCTGTGCCCAGGAGGGCTTCCCAAGCCACCTGCTCCTCTCTGCCTCAAGGGCACCAGCCCCCAGCCACTGCCAAACCTCGTTCCAAAGTGCACAGCCACAGCCAGAGCCTGGCTGCTGGCCCTGGGCAGAGCTAGCTGATGATCCTGCTGATGGCCTGCAGCGAGGGGAACTCCTCATCCTCCAGGTGCAAAGCTTTGTGGGTGACCACGTCCTGCTGGGTCAGCACCTGCCTGCACGTGGGGCAGATGCAGCAGTCGAGGTCGGCGGGGGAGTCCGTCTGCCAAACGTTCTTTTTGTTCTTTTTGGGTTTGTTGGAGCTTTGCTTCTCCTTGAGCCGGAAGTCGTTGTGAGCAGAGAGCAGTTCCTGCTGCTTGGCTGTGTCTGGCAGCAACACCAACAACTCCTTGAAAATCTTCTTGAAGTTTTCCCCCAGCAGCTCCCGGCAGCTTTTGTAATACTGAGCTGCAGAGATCAGCCCCTGCAGGGGACAGGGAAGGGCAAGAATCAGAGGAAAATGAATATTTATCTATTAAAAATCCCACTGGAATTCAGGCCTCCCAGAAAGGGAGGCTCTGGGAAGCCACTCACCTGCCTGAACTGCCCAGAATGAGTTTTAAATTTATTGAACTTGGACTCGTCGCTCTGAAGAAATTCTTTAATGGATTGTATGAGCTGGATGTTCCTCTGCTGGAAGTTCTCAGGTATCAAGTATGATCCATGACAGGATTTTGGCCTGTGTTGGAAAAGACCAGAAGTGACCCTGACACTGGTTTGTGTCACACAAAGATGTCCTGGGACATAAATCACAAGGCAGTTCTGGTTTACAGCTGCACGTCCTTCCTCCACCCAGCTACACAAAAGCAGCACAGCTGTCTTGTCAGAACAATAAAATATGGGATTTCCATATCAGATTCCAGCTTTACACAAACAGAATGTTTAAAATCCAAGTTTAACGTGGTCCTGACGAGCTGCTCTGTGAGCTGGGTGCACTCAAAATACCTGAGCAAAGACCTCACTGTGAATAAACCAACATACAAATGCAGGTTCTGTATGAAACTGACACAAAGTTTTCCCTCCCCTTTTCCCAAAAACTCCTCTTTCTGTCCCAGAAGAACCCAGAGAGCAGATCCTGGAAAGACCAGAGCAGTGAAGGTCACCAAGGAGAACAAGCCTCAGTGCCTTGCTGCTGGGACTCCCACAGAATCAATGGGAAGTAAGGAATATGTTGGAGCTGCAGATTCCCAAATAAATCTAGGATAGACCAAGGTCTGAGCAGCCAAAACATTGCAGAGGCTTCCAGTTCCTCAGACTTGTAACTACACAGGGCTGTTTTAGGCAATTCTCCTGAATCCAACCCCCAGCACCCTGGGACTTCCCAATGGGAACCTTCCCTGGCTGGCCCCTTGGAGCCACCCCCCGTGTGCTGTTTGAAGCCCTGTGACACCAGGGAGAGTGAGAGGGGTCCCACAGCCCCTGGCAGGCCCCTGACTCACTCTTTCAGGGCTGTAGTGACGGGTTCAGAGATGGTGGAGGATGGGATGACAGCGAAGCCCGGGGGGGGTTTGCTGACAGGCACCGACAGGCCCGGAGGCGGAGGAGGGTTCTTCAACAGCACCACGGAGTTAAAGCCTGAGGGAAGCAGGGAGAGACAGGAATTAGAGCACCCACAGACCCCTGGCTAAAACCCACACCAGTGCCTGACACACTCTGCAGAAGCACCAAGCACAGTTTGCAGTGCAGACATCACTATATTGGAGAAAACCTAAAAAAAATCTTCAAGAAGCACTTGAGAGTAGCTGATGTTCCTCTACAGAGAAAGTGCTTTAATTATTCATTTACTTTCTCAATGGAAAATAATTTTGAAAGCCCACTCCAAGTCACAATGAGAAACACTTTTGCATTATTAAAGTGAACACAAACCACGGGAGGAGGCAGCAGACCCAGCCTGGCCTCTCCCAGCAGGGGCTGCACAAACAGCGGTGCTGGCACCTCCCAAAGCGATCCCACTGCCATGAAAACCACTCCAGCTCACGTTTGTTCCTGTCTCCCTGCCTTCACAAGGTCGTGGCTAAAAGCACGGCAGGAAAGCTCTGCCAGCACAGGAGGAAGTGAAGTGACAAGTGCCAGCAGGGACAGGACACAGCCAGATTCCCTTTGCCTGCAGCGGCTCCAAGGCAGATCTTGGAGCACAGCACACGGATGTGTCAGCCCTGGGGACAGGGAAGAACCAGCTCTACATCCAGGAGCCACCCCCAGAGAGCAAACAGCTCCAGCTGTGGGGCAGAGGTGAGTCCCATGCAGGACATTCCAGCCCTCCTGTGACAGCCAGGCTGACTCTACCTGGCAGCTGGTGGCAGAACCACACAAGAGCCAGGAGTTGACACAACACATCCATGTGTTCTCTGGGCTGTCCCCAAGCAAAGCTGGCTGTGCTCAGCAGTGCTTCCCCATCCCTGGAAGTGTCCAAGGCCAGCCTGGAACAACCTGGGCTAGTGTAAAATGCCCCTGCCCACAGCAGGGAGTGGAATGAGATCATCTTTAAGATCCCTCCCACCCAAACCATTCCACGACTCTGAGCTTCACTCCCTGCTCACCTGGTGGTGGGGGCATCCTGGCTGATCCTGAGCTCCCAAGAGCTGGGAAGTCTTCCTGAGGTAAAGGGCATTTGTTAGTCCCTGGGGGCTTTTTAAGGCCGGGGGGCTCTTTGGGTGCAGCACAGGCAGCTGATGGTTTCTCCGCGTGCCCGTTGACGAGGGGGCCGTGGGCAGCAGGGAAGGCCCTGCAGGGCTGCTCGGCCTCCGGGGGCCTCTCTGTGCCTGGCCTGGGCAATGGTGGCTCCTGGGGCGGGCGTGGGGACGATGGGCTCTGCTTCTCAACCCCCATCTTCTTTTTCTTGCCCACTTTTGTAAAAGTTTGTGAGGTAGAAGCTGCCAGCAAGGACGAGACGTCGAACATGGTCGGGGTGTTGCGGATCTCCTGGGTGGTCAGGCCACCGCTGCCGTCCTCGTCGTCCGATTCACAGAGTTTATTGCTCTTCTTGTTTCCTTTGGAGGTGTTCAAGGATGGTTTTTTGGCTGGCTGGTTGACACAGGGGTTGCACATGGCTTTGACTACGTTTTTACTGGAACCATTGTTCCATGCAGATGTGATGTGAGTTACTGTCCTATTGGTGGGCTTCACTTTGGACACCAGGGCTGGGAAATCCTCCTCCTGGAAGGCTGCTTTCCTGGCAGTGGCTGTGTACATCAGAGACATCCCTGATGAGATGGTGGGAGCTGCAGAGGAGGACAAGCTTGGGAAATCTTCTTCTTTAAGCTTAACCAGAGCTGGCTGGGCAGAGCTGTGGGGAAGGGAGAGGGTTGGAGTTACTGAGGCAGCAGAACCCCAAGGGACAGCACAAACCCACAGCTCTCCACTCCCCCTCAGAGTGACACAACAGGAGCTGGACCAGATGATCCTCAGGGCTCCCTTCCAGCTGAGGATATTCCATGATTCTATACCAAGATCAAGCCAGGAGCTGATGCTGCTCATGCTGGTGAGCAGCACAGAAACAGCTGCAGGCAGGAGGGGACGAGGCAGGGGAAACCTTGGAGGGATCAAATGATCTAGAAAATTGTTTTCCCCGGATATGCAGAACACATCTATCAGCTTCTAAACGTGCTTTGTCCCTGCAGACTCACCCTGGGAGAGGTCCTGCAGCAGAGCCGATTGCTGGAAAGTCCTCCTGGCTGAGCACTCCGTTAGCAGCTGCTTCTTTTGGAACAGGAACAGAAAGAGCAAAGACATTGTTTTCAACCCAAACCCATTCATTCAGAGCAGGGGCTATCAATGGCCATGACTGCAGCACCACCAAGGCCTATTTTCAGCAGCTGGTGATGTCATTAACTGACATTCCAGAAGAACAATTTAAATCCATGCATCACTATTTCCTTCAATTAACTGTGCTGCCCATTACGTTGTGGCATTCAGGAAATCCATGATCCTTTAAATGAGTAAAACATGGCTAAGGCAGAACTTTCTGAGGGAACCTTCCAGACCCTGAGATGCCCTGCAGCTGCAGGACCTGTCCAACACTCACCTGTGACATCGTTTGAAGACTTTGGCACACGTTTGGAGCCGAGCACGTCGGGATCCCTCAAATCCTCCTTTCTCCCCCTGCTGCTGCTGCCTTCCTCCTTGTCCTCCACCCTCTTCTTCTCCTCCTGCCGTTTGGCTGCCACAGATGCTCTGACTGCTGCTGCAACATCCCTGTCTTCTTCTTCCCTGCAGGACAGGGCAGACTCCTTGGTCAAACACAAGGACCACAGAGCACTGCCCTCACTGCAGTGTCACCTCTGTGGTGCCAGCTCTGGTCACATCCCTGACCTCGTGCTGCCACCTGCTGAGAAACCCAAACCAGCCCCACCACTCCCATCCACTCCGCATTTCCAAGTTCCACGTGTGGGAATAACAATCCAGGCCAGAAGAAACCAGGCTGAACTGGGAGAGACAGTACCAGGGATGCAGGGGGCACCTGTCCCTCCCGCTGATTTCCAAATGTATGGAATCATTCTTGGAGGCCACAGGAACTCTTTGGGGCATGAACTCTCAACACATGCAAGATCCACATGTGACACCAACAGAGGAGTGCTTTGGGATGCACTTTTTTTCCCCAGTGGAATCACCAGTAATGAACCAGCTGTCCATCCAGCTAGAAAAAGAAGAAAATAAGATGTGCAGGATGGAAAAAGCACTCGGGTCTGGTGTGGATGAAGAGACATAGAAATGCAAAGTTTTTCATTTCAATACTTAACCCTCTTTCTTTTCCAAAGCACTCAGTCTGGCCACACAGAGATCTGTTAGTTCAATGAAAGGCATGGTCCTTAGAACAGGAATTTCATCACTACCCAGACCAAAAACTCCATTAAACCTGCACAGACTTGTCACCTACTTCAGAAAATCCTATTTAGAGAAGTTTGCATAAAAACAGCTGCTGGAATTAATTCAGGGTTCTGAGTTTACTTAACCCAAAAGTTGAGCGTTACATTGAGCTGAAACCTCACACAAAATAATTCCATGATTACCAAGCACATAGCCAGGACACAGGCTTGGACTGGAAGCTGTCAGCTAAGGATTCACCATGGAGACTTCCAAATTTTGTATCACTTCCTTCCTTCTAATCCACCAAAATATTGTGAATTGGTAAATAAAAGCCAAGACGAAATGGGAGTAAAACTCCCCACAAGGTTGTGCTACTCACCTCTTGTACCTCCAGCTGCCCCTCCTGTTCTGCTGGCTGCCTCGGCTGCTCAACCTGCTCGCCCTCCCCTGCCTGTTGAACCTGTCAACCTCCTCGTAGTCATCTCCACCTACAACACCTAAAACAGAGGGGCAGGATGATCACTCTCAGTTATTTCTCTAGTGTGGGCATCACACTGTGCTTGAAATATGCAAAAATTATACTGGTACAAATAAATTATCTTCATTTCTTTCTGATGACCAAGTCAGCAGTTCTCCTAAAATTACCTGTCCTCAATTAACTCGTACACAGGGAAAAAATCCTACAACAATTCAGGCAGGAAGGGATGCCTGCATATCACCTGCTCCAGCCCTTTACTCAAAGCAAGGCCAGCTCTAAAACTACATCAGAGGGCTTTGGCTGGGCAAGTTCTGGTTATCCTCAACCTCTGCAACCTCTCAGGTTGGAAAGGCCTCAAACTCTGCAGCCTCTCAGGTTGGAGAGGCCTTCTCAAAGTCTGCAACCTCTCAGGTTGGAGAGACCTTCTCAAACTTCAGATTGGAGAGACCTTCTCAAACTCTGCAACCTCTCAGGGTGGAGAGGCCTTCTCAAACTCTACAAGCTCTTGGTGCTGTTCCAGGCCTTGTCTACCTTGTCTGGGAAGAATCTTCACGCCTATGAAATATTCACTGGGCGTTCTTAGAGAATAAGACCCATAGATTGGTTTGGTTGGTAGGAGGACCTTAAAGAACACCTTGCTCCAGAGCAAGGACACCTTCCACCTGAGCAGGCTGCTCCCAGGCCTGTCCAGGGCGCTTCCAGGGCTGGAGCAGCTGCAGTGGTGCCTGCCCACCCTGGCAAGGTACCCATCCTTGCTCTGCCCACCCTGGTGGGGTGCCCATCCCTGCCCTGGGAGCTGGGCTGACCATCAGTCCTGCCCACCCTGCCCCTCAGCCCAGCTGACCATCAGTCCTGCCTGTCCCTGTCCCTCAGCCCAGCTGACCATCAGTCCTGCC